TGAAAACATTTTTCAAGACTTTATTATTTTAATCTATTCTTCCATTTCCTTATTTAATAATCTTATTATTATTTGGATTTGAAATTTAAAATCCAATTTTAAATTCCAACTATTAATTAGTAATTCTATTAATTACTAAATTAATATCCAAAATTCATTTAATCAATCTAATTGATTAATTTAATATATTCCTTTAATTGATATCTAATCAAATTAGATTTGTCAATTAATTCTAACTCTTTAGAAATACTATTTGAATTTTACCTTCATTCAAAAATTGGTGTGACCTTTTAGGTTCACAATTAATACTAGTAGTGGGTTTACAACTCTTTGTAATTTGAGTTATTCATATTAACTCTTATTCTTGAATTAACTCTTTAATTCAAGAACCCACATATCATGGGAACATCTAGCAAGTAGCATGAATCTAGTATTAAGTGAATAGCGAGTAAACCTATTTCGATTACAAGTTCATACATGTAAAATCCTTTCGACATCCAATTTCCCGATTAAATCTTTGGGTATGATTTTGTCGAAACCCAAATTGATTTAATAACTATGATTCCATTTCAAGTTTAGTAATTCGTTTATGAATCTCTATTCATCCCGCCTTGGCCAGGGACTTTGAATTACTAACTATGAAACACATAGGAAATTCACTTATCTTCATAAGTGTCGAATCCTTTGTTGACCACTGACAAACTTCCATACATATTAATTAATATAATACCCAAAATATCCCTTTATACGATTGTGCTAGCAATCAAAAGGATACATCAAAGTAAAATATAATATACACAAAGTTACCATCGTGCCTCAAGTCTAAGGATTAATCATGTACTATTGTAACATGAAAATTCTTATTCGACATGATAAACTTTCATTAAGAATTTTCATACGGTCATATTCAGTGAACTTGTTCTCTAACAAGCACCCACATATATGTATTTGCGTCCCACGCTAATGTTGATGGAATGCAACATTCTTATCCAATAAGCATACATACTATGTGCAAGTCTTTTCTGGATTTATTCGATATCCCATCTCGAAACATCCAACGACTTGGAACTGTATTTAAGATCACAGCTTTCAAGATATGTTCCATGATCACCATCTCTATGCGCAACCATATCTTATAGCTATAAGTGATCTAGGGATGTTATCTTAAGTGCAAATATATGATAAATGCTTACTCTTAAAATAAAGTAATGCCTTATTATTTAATATAATTCCAATAGATTGTATTTACAAGTAGAATACGTCCAATCTGATTGGAACGCCGGGTATACTACTCCAACACCCACCTACCCCTCCCTCATCTTCTTCCCCACACACACATACACATTCACACAGGCACACACAAACACACACATTACACAGGCATAAAGTGTCGGACCGCCATCTCGCCGCCGCACTCACCGTCGCTCCGCATCCGACATCCCCGACCGCCGCCGTGCACAACCACATCATCACTGACCGCCACAACTTTATCTTTTTCACCCAATAAACTAACGCACACAGCACACCATCGCGCACACACACACACATACAATGTTCCGACGACAACTCATGCCTCCCACCACCTTCCGCCGCGCCGCCGCCATCGCCCACAGTCGGTAGCCCCGTCTCCCGCCTCCCACAGCAATTAGCCCCGCCGCAAGTCGCCATCTCTGCCGCCCGCTGCCGGCCGACGAAATAACCCTCCGACAGCTGACTCTTCTTCTCCGACGATCTTCCACGGTCGGATGTTTTCCTCTCACTACCACTGCCCACACCTCCGTCCTTGTCAGGGACCACCACACTTCCTCTTTCCGGCCCAGATTTGAACGAGAGAAAGAGTCTCTCAAGGACAAACAGTCATGTCGTCTGCCGCCCTATTGGTTGTGGTTGATCGCCGGCGAGGGAAGGGGCGGTAGGGAGGTGGCTGGGAGATTGGACTTGCATTTGGGAATTTGAAATGATAGAAGGACTTAATAGCAATTTAATAAACTTTTGTATATTACAATTGAGTTCAAGGTACAAATACATTAATTTAAAATCTAATTAATACTTTAACATGTAATATTTTATTATTTTTATTTTGAAATTAAATAATATGTTTACTAAAACTGTAAAACATAATGTAATAATAATATTATTTTTATACAATTAGGTTTTTTCGTAAAAAAAAAAACAAAAAATAATAAAATGAATTTGGCATCCAATTAAAATAATCGAATTATTATTATACAATTCGGTTCGGTTATTTCATTAAAATAATAATAATAATAATAAAATAAATACGACATTGGATTAAAATAATTGATTGTTTGAATTACCTTGAATAATCAAAATTATTTATTATTTTTATTAATTATATATATAATATTGAATATATATTTAATATCTTTATAATTGTATTTAATATTTTTATATTATTATATTATTACACTAAATAACCGAGCTCTGACAAGTAAAGAAATACAATCTAATCAAAATATAAAAATTTGAACTGAAAATATAGTCGATCAATTCTGTTCGATAATGTGCAATTCAATACCCATCAATGTGCAATTCATACAACCCTAATGTGCTCCCGCGATACATAAACATTTAAAAAAGTCATAATATTTTTCATATTGTTCAATCCGATAGTAATGAAAGTGCGATTCGTATACCGTATTATGCACCAGATATTTTAATAGTATGCAAACTAATACCAATTTAATTGGTCGATTTAGTCAATCGATTAACCAAGTTGATCTAAATAATATATATGATTTAATATTCATATTATAAAAATATATTTATTTTTCAACGATTATATTTACTATTGTATTTTTAGTTTTGGCATTAATTGCAGAGTGAAGTGAAAAAGTGCAACCGTTGTTTTATACGGTGCGACGCTTTGTTTTACAAAGTGCAATATTCTGCTATATAAAATGTATTAATCTATAATTTCCCATATAAATTACGCGTGTTCAAGAACTATTTTTAATAAATATAATTGTAAATCTAATTAATCTAAAATAATTAAAAAATATTTTTTTATTATTTTTATTTGTATAATTTAATTATTATTAATAGAGTGTATTGATAAAGTGCAACGCGTTGTTTTATACAGTGCGACGTTTTGTTTTACAAAGTGCAACAACATTTCGTTACATAAAAACACTAATCTATAATTTTCCATATAAATTATGTGTGTTCAAGACCTATTTTTAATAAATATAACTGTAAATTCAATTAATCTAAATAACTAAAATATATTTTTATTTATTATTTGTATTATATAATTTATCTATTATTAATAAAGTGTAATGATAAAGTGCAGCACATTGTTTTATACAGTGCGACGTTTTGTTTTACAAAGTGCAACATTTTGTTATATAAAATGCACTAATCTATAATTTTCCATATAAGTTATGTATACTCAAGAACTATTTTTAATAAATATAAATGTATATCTAATTAATCTAAATAATTAAAATATATTTTTATTTATTTTTCTATTATATAATTAATATGTAGTTATTTTAATATTTTATATTATTTTTATTTAATAATTTACTTGGTATTTAATATATGTGTATATCAAAATGTACAAAAAAGTCACTTTTTATTAACTTTCAATAATTATAGATTTCACCCATGGGTTAAATTGAAATACAATCAAAATTATTAAAATTGCAAATAGGTCCCTATACATAATCAAATTCTCAAAAAAGATGCCCAAATTCAAAGATCAATTTCAGAGGGCTTGGCTTAAGAGGCGTTGGAGGGCGCCAGCCGCCAGACTCACGCCGAGTTCACGGCGGCGGTCGGAGGTGTTCAAGGCGATGGCCGGCCGACATGTAGTGGTTGAAATCAAAACGCCGCCCTATTGCCTCATTCACCGGTGAAGGCGAACCACCACAGAGAGGGGCGAAACCGGCGGCGCGTGGTGGTGGAAGAGGTGTTGTATCGACCTCTGAAAACCGGCGACTGTATCCTGAAGAGAAGACTCGTGACGAAGGTGAGGGGCGGGATCGAAAACTTTCGGCGAGGTGGAAGAAATACGGCGACGACCGGTCGGTGAACGACAACAGCGGAGGAAGTTGGCGGCTGCGGAGGAACTGGTTGCGGTGGCCGGCGGAGTGTGGAGGTGTGTGTGCGTGGGTCTGTTGTGTGTGTGACTGGGAGAGAGAGAGAGAGAGAGAGAGAGAGAGAGAGAGAGAGAGAGAGAGAGAGAGAGAGAATTGAACGAAATATCTGGGGAGAGAGAGAGAGACAACGTGAATGAATTAATTGGGAAGGAGAGAGACAACAAATTAATTGGAGAGTGGGACCCACTGGTAGTAGTTGTTGTGTGAAAAATGTCTATAATACCCTTAATAAATGTAGAAATGCTGATTTTTTTTTACCATTGGATGATCAGATCTAATGGCTAATACTTATTCTTATTTCTTTCACTAGGAACCATTCTCATGTGAACTCAACCCTATATATATATATACATAGTTTTATTTTTTAAAAACAAATAATATTTTAAAAAATAAAAAAGTATATATAGAGGACGAGTTAACCGAGTAGACCCATCCACGTCAATACCCAGGGTCGTTCGGGGGTCAAGGCCTGGATGGCCGAGTTTTGACTGAACTTAACTGAGTCCTTTGTTGCCTAGCCCGAATAGCCCACATGTATCGATTTTGGCTCCAGGTCGACCGTTCCGAGTCGACCCGCCGGGCTGGTCCGGTTTTCAAAACTATGATTGGTGGATGGATATTTATTACACAAAAATTAAATATTCAACACTAGTCATATTGTTCCTTAATCATTTCCTTTTTATTTTTCAATTTTCTCATTTAAACAAATCGTGGCCTAACACGTAGAGGAGCCCAAACAATGACACGTAGCCAAAATCGAGATAATATCCAACTTGATCTCTACAGTTGCGCTTCTATTTATTCTTCTCGAGTTTCTTCACCCCACCACCATTAATCACCACAGCTTCCCACCGATTACCTCTTATATTTCCTCAAATGGATTTCTTATCTAGCTTGGCCAAAGGCGGGGACCACCAGCCCAAGCCCACTTCCGATCAGCCCAACAACCCCGACCACAAGCCCGCCTCCAACTCCGATCTCCTCGCCAGCGCCAGGCTCGTCGCCGACGCGGCCCAGGCCCAATTCCGCAACGAGCCCGAGAAGTACGACAAGAATAAAGTCGCCGGCGCAGCCGCTGACCTCCTCCAGGCCGCCTCCGACTACGGCAAGCTTGACGAGACCAAAGGCGCCGGAAAGTACATCGACCAGGCAGAGAGCTACCTCCGCAAGTACGGCACCTCCAGCCCCTCCGCCGCCGGCGAGCACAAACCCGCCGCCGATGCTGAAACTGCTCCCGCTAAGGAGAGTGCTGAGAGCGAGAAGCCGTCCGGCGGCGGTGGGGATTATCTGAAGATGGCAGAGGGTCTCCTGAACAAGCCTTCGACTGCCGGCGAGAAGTCGGAAAGTGGATATGGTGATCTGATGAAGATGGCCGGCGGTTTCTTGAATAAATAGAAACTGGGCGTTTAGTTTACTTGTGTTCACGTTTTCATTACTGTTTCGTAAGTGTGTTTTACTTTTGCCTGTCCACAGTGTTGTTTCAGATTTACCGTGTGTGTATAGTGGCGGGTGTATAATGTGTTATGTGAAGTTTCTTGCTAATTATCTTGTTTTGAGTTTGAATAGGTTTCTACTCATGTTTTGATGGATACAAATTTATTTTGGGTTGAATTGGGTTATAATTATTTTCTCACAACTAATTTTTGGTGAATGAGAAAAAAAAAAATGATTAAAGTTAATAAGAATCATTTCCGGCATTGGACCTCTTCTGAAAAGAGACTATATAATAAAGCAATAGAAAATTACACCCTATACAAGATATATTTTTTATTACATAAACGAACCCCAATTGCAAGTATTAGCAAATATAAAAGATCTTACGTTTTTAATTGCAAAAGTACCAGATAGATAAAAAATGATTAATCTAAATATGCAATTAATGTTTATATATTCTTCTTACCCACGTATCTTCTTCCGGTCCTTTCATCTTGTCATTTTGATAGGTTTTCCATTACCCTTTTCTAACCGTATATTCATATATTCTTTTTCTCCGCCTGTTCCGGGTGACTCCTTCCCCTGCGACTTTTTTCTTTTCCAGCAAAGCTTTGCCTTTTTCCCCTAACATTACCAAAGTCTGTATCTTTTTCCCCCAAAGTCCCTCATTCTTGGTCCTGTTCAAAACATGGGGATCTCGTTTACGGTCTCCAAAGCCGACAAGCGGTTCCACCTGAAGTCGCCACCGCCCGGACCGCCTCGTTTCACGTCGACGACGAGAAATCGTGATGGGCTTGAGTAATTGGACAATTTTCTTATTTAGGTCCAAATATTATTAATTGGGATCGGTTTCGTCTTTTTCTACTCGATTTTGTTCAACTTCAGCTGTGTTAATGGAGGACGTCGCTTACAGCTAATTGGATCTGTGGATTAGATTTTTATCTCATGGAAAGGGCGATTCCACATCCGATTCGACCCATTTTCATTCGGAGGGTTTGAAGCGTGAGGCTGTGTGGGTGGTTGCGTTGGGTGAGGAGTCGATGGTTGGTGTGGGGTGGTGGTGGGGGTGGCGGTGGTGAGGGTGGATCTGGTCATGGCAGTGTATGTTCTGATAAATACAATCGATAACCTAATGTGCTTTCTGTATATCTTATGTATATATTTTGTATATAATGGCATATTGATTTATCTTCTGTATATCTGTTGTGTATTTTATTTATGTCGTCTGTATGCAATGAGTATGTCGTTTGTATATAAGTCTGAAAGTGTATTTTGTATGTATTAAACCAGAAAATATACTATAAATATACATAAAGGATTATGAAAAGATAAAATTACTAGGTCTATTTCGTAAGTTTTCCGACTTATATGTTTTCCGTATATCTTTTGTATATATTCTATATATTTGATGTATATATTCCAAAAAAAAAAAAAAAAAAACAGAACATTTGAATTTCAAATTACAAATCATTCATCGAGCACGATATGAACAAAGTCCTAATTATTAGGTAATATACAGTTACATTTTATTTTTTCAGTTAAACGTGATTGTAGGAATATATTCTCTCACTTAATATGGTAACAATTTTGTAGCTTCAGGTCAACTAAATACACTTGAAAAGGTAGGCTTGCAAATATAATCTCTCCATTCATACATCCGCAATAAATTAAAATTCTTGTGGTAAACAATAAATTTCCGCTTAAAACAAATCAAAGTTATGCACCAAGTATAAGTGATGAAGCGGATGATGGCGTGCTCGTGTTTGGGATTAGGCTTTTGGCCTTGGTCGTTGGGAATTGGATTGTGGGCTAGACTTGGGCGGTCTGGATCGGAGCTGGACTTGGGGCTTGAGTGTAGCCCCTATAATCTTTTTGTTGGAAATTTAATTGCAAAATTGTGGTCCAAAATGAAATTATCGAGATGGGTTTAGAATTACGTTTTGACCTAATCCATGTTAGACCCATTCCAGATACATTGTATTTGAACATGTTGACTTTAATTGATCGTTTTAGGTGGACTGGTGGTGTGCTAACACCTGAAAACTATCTGACAATTTTGATGCCCTTAAAAACATGGGTTGTTACCAACCTTAAGTAGTAGCTGACCCATGACTTCCCCTACCTGAGTTGGAACTCTATAAATAGGAGTTCTTTCGTTGCAGCATGAACATTGAATGCTGATAATCTGCATACTCCTCTAAAATAGCCTCACACATCATAATACGTACAAGTTCTCGGTTCTTGACTTCATTCAAGTTCGTCGGAGCTTGGAAGTCGGGTGTGCTAAAGCTCTCGAGACGTCAGCCATTGTGTCTTTGGAGACGAGACCTATGAACCCATCAACACATTATGGAGTGTATTCGTATTGCGAAAAAAGCAATACTCGCCTCGACTATTGTTTTTTCGATTTCATTTGTAATCTTATTTTCTGTTTTTAGTTCAAGTTGTAAGAATTGAACCATACGCTTCAATTCATAGGATTCTCGTATAATCAACACTCTAATTCGTAACAATCGCGAGATGAATGTTAACCTACTTAACTAATGGCCTCCACCAGAGATGGTTCCAACACTCAGCAAACTCTACAACAATAACTGACGATCAACAATGATGTTCGTCATCATCATCCCGTGTCTACTTCACACGAGATTAAATTATATGCACAAGTAAAAAGCACTTTACATAATTTATATTAGATATACAATCTCATTTTCATCATAGTAATTGTTATTGTGTGTTTGGTAGCTACTTTCGTGAACAGTTAAAATGACTGTTGAACATAAAAAAAAAAAAAAAACGTTCAAGTAAACCTAATATTATTATTCATCCACACGATACCCATACTTTTTCGTCATAGTACTCGTTTTGGACTGTTCGGTACCTACTTTGGTGAACGATCCAAATGACTTGTCGATCTAAAAAAATACAAGTAAACTGGTACTTGTTTTTCTTCTATAGAATACCTATCTTGTGTCATCATAGTACTCATTTTCCAGCATTTGGTACCTATTTTGGTAAACGCTAAGAAATAACTTGGCGGGTTAAGAAAAATATGTTTAGTAATCTGGTAATAATTTTCTTCACCACAATACCATGTCTGAACTTCTATAGTACTCGTCTTTAGTATTTAGTATCAACTTTGGTCAACGAACATGAATTTCTTGCATTTTGGTAAATTTATAAGATCAATACATATTTTATTGTAGTACTTAACAGATCATGGTGCCAGTACTTACTTCGTGGTGTCGAGTATCTGCTTATGTAAACTTTGAAGAATTCTAAATTTCGGTCTTTATTGTTATTTTGTTTATTCAATATAACTCATGTTATAGTTTGAATGAGGTAATCTATGCGAGTAATAAAGTACTTGTGACAAACGTCATGAACTTATTACACTAATAAAGAAATACATTAAAACACTTAGTTTCGTCATATGCTCAAACATGGTTGGTCTAAATTCCACCACTATGTCATAGATTCAACAAATATCCATCTACTTCATAAGTGAATGGTCAAAATAACATGTTAGACTTGGCGAATTAAGAAAATTATGTTTAATAAATCAGTATTTGTTTTTCTTCACCATAATAAAAGTTCTGAATTAAAAGTACTGGAATTCTGGTGTTTAGTATCAACTTTGGTCAACGAACGTAACTTTCTTGCATTTTGGTTCACGTTTATGAGATCGATACCTACTCCATTGTATATTGATACTTAACTGATCGTGGTGTCATTACCTACTTCGTGGTGTTGATTACCTACTTACGTAAACATTGAAGAATGTTACATTCCGGTCATTAATGTTAATTTTTTTACTCGAAGTTACTCTTACTTTAGTTTGAATAAGGTAATCAATGTGAGTAATTAGTTATCAGTGACAAATGGTCATGAACTTACCATAATAATGAAGAAAACAACACTTAAACACTTCATTTCATCATATGACCAAACATGGTTGGTCTAATTTCCATTAATATGTTGTGGCTTCAACTAATATCCAACCAACCAGTACTTGTTTTTTTCATAATAGTACTAGGGTTGAAGTTTGCTAGTACTCATAGATTAGCATTTGGTAACAACTTTGTTGAACAAAGAATTACTTGTATCTATTATAAGCTTAGAAAACCAATATTATGTCCACGTCTAAATGTGTTCTTTGCACATACGTCTATTATGTCCACGTTCACCATAACTTGTGATGGGATCCTTCCCAATCTCCCCCC